AAATTTAAATATATATATATATATATATATTATAGTTGGCAACCGCGAATAAATAAATAATTAGAATTATTATTACTAATATTACAGCAGTAATAAATTCCTAACCATAATTGTTTTATCAGCCAATTATAATCGCAAATACTTTTCTCTCAGTCCATGAAAACTTTATAGTTGCTCAAATGCGGGTTTAAATAATTTTCCCAGTCGTATTCTTCGTCTGCGAGCCCTGATTTGCCATAGTACGTACGCTCGAGCGTAAACGCGCATAAACGCACATAAACGTCGCAATATGCGTCTCGAATTGATCCCCGGTGCCGTGCGTGCGTGCGGCGTGCGTGCGTGCGTGTTCAAGCGTATACCGAATGCGTGCGTAGGCGCATATTCCCCTCTCAGTTCGCTTAAATCATTTTCTTCGATTACTCCTTGACTTCCCATGAGACGCGGCCGCTGCCGCCGGCTGTTTGCTTCTTTTAACGATCGCGCTTATTTATTCCGCGCTTTTCTCGTCCACGACGAGAACGTTTCTTAAAGCGAACATCGGGTCTCCGCTTTCGCTCGGGGTTTACCACGGAAAAATGGGTAATTTAAAATTTCGAAGATTAAATACCCTTACCCGATATCATTTTCTTGTTGACAGTAACAGGGATCGAAAGTATAGTAATTATTACCGTCACTTTTTATGGCAACGATTTGATAATGACGTTGCAACTTTTGTAATTGTAACAATAATTAACTAAACGCTAAGATTGTGCTAGGATTGGGAAAGTGACTTTAAAAAAAAGTAACTGTCATTACGCATTATTTACTGGAAAAAAAAATTTGTTATGTGTAATGCATTACAAGTAACGAAAGTAACTCGTTACAAACGAGTTTCTTTTTTCAATATCGAGTGACTTGTTTATTACAAGTAACAATTGACTTTTCGACTTCTGGTATTGTCGTTACCAGACGCCTAAAAAATTCGCAACGTCATTATCAAATCGTTATTATAATAAAGTAACGATAAAAAGTAATGACGTTACAAAAAAACACGTACTTTCATTCTTTAGACAATATCCATTTCGAGGGACTTGAACAGTTAAAAGTGCGCTATTTCTACGTCTTAGTTGCAGAAATATTTTAACCCTATCAGTCATATATGGAATTTTGCACTTTCTGTCAGTAATTTGAGCTTCAGTGCATATTTTTATATTGTTCCAAACTGGATAAAAATCTAAAAAAAATTCTTGTGAAAATTTTAACAATGGATTTTTACTATATACACGAGAAGAACGACTTTACTGAAGTATCTACAAATTTAGGCATAGACAGCTAGATACAAATCTGAAAATAATTTTGTTGGATTATCAAAATAATAATAAACAAGAAAGTCAAGTACGAGTTAGTGCTGCAAAAAAGTTTTTTGACGTTATAGCAACCAATTTGAGTATTCCTACTTAATTATTTTGATAATCTAACAAAATTATTTTCGAATTTGTATCTATAATCATTAAATTTGGAGATACTTGCCTTAAAAATTCAATTCGGCCGGTGGAGCGTTAAAGTTTTCGAAAAAAATGTTTATTAATTAAGAGAGAAAGAAACCTTCGTGCTTTCAATGGACGTGGATCATGGATTTGTCGCCGTAAACTGAAAGATTGAGAATTCCTCACGACGATATACCTACGTCCCAATCAATGAGGCGACTCGGTAATCAGATTAATATATTTAATCTACGCGCCTTTTGAGGACGCAATTGCCTAAGCACGATTGTTCGATTAGCCGCGATTGTCCGCCTGGTGAACGACGATTTGCCAATCCGAGAGAAAATGCTCCGCAAAACTACAGGTTGCACGTGTACCGCGTGGCAAAACGCTATTGTATGATAATATTATTCGACGCGATTATTTCCAGCCCGGATTTAGCCACGACGCCATTACACGCGATACGTGGCGATTTTTTTTCCTTTCTTTTTTTTTTTTTTTTTATGATTCACTGGCTATCATTCCCGGCGCGGCGGTTGTGGGACGATCAATTCGCACACGAAAACGAGATTATTCATATTTCTATGCAATGTTATGCTGAAAGAAAAAGCGACTTGCGGGTTTTTTTTTTTTTCATTTTTTTTTTTTTTTCATTTTTTTTCCCTCCCCCGATTTTCCCTCGTGCCGAAACGGTGTGTATATTAAGCAGTTTTCAGCGATGGTGCTTAAAATATCCATCTATATACGGGGAAGTGACAGATCCGCGCTGGAAATACCGTTTAATTAATTTACAAAACGTGCGAAACTCATACCGCGACGAGAGAGAGAGAGAGGGAGTAAAATAAAATCTGGCTTGTCGCGAAGAGAGACCTACCATCATTTCCCGTCCGCGATAACGCGATAATTATAACGACGTTAAATTTCTTCCTGCGCAATTGCGCGCGCGGTCTGCGAAGCAGAAATCGGGCGCGGGGGGCGACGCGGCACCGCATAAATCGCCCGGCCGACATGAGTGACGTTAACTGCTGCTAACACGCGTGGGTGTGACGCGCTCTGTGGACCACACAGTGGCCCGCAGTTCCCGCTTCTCCCTTTTGTTCCTGCCCTCGTCTTCTCGCCCGGCTCTCTTTCGCTTCGAGCTGATCGGCAACGCACTGGTTAACGCACGACTAAAGGGATAATTACAGCGCAATTATAATAATTGCACCGTATAATTATCGATAATTACGATAGCGACAGATGAAAAATGATCAATTAAATCGGCGTGTTTCAATTCGATAAGCCGATCGCTTGAAGTCAACGGAGTTTTGTTACTTCGTAAGGATTCAATGTTCGGAAAGGGATCCCTCTCTCGAATGCCGCGACGCTCTTTTTAAGTCGCCGCCGCTGCCACCTCCTCCGTTTTAGCGTTGGTAAATTATTTTGATTGCTTACTCAGGACGAATGAATCTTGAGAGCCTCGTAAAATTCGTACTCGGTGCGATATATTTTTACTCGCGAGTGCTTCACCGTTTATATTCTGCTTCTATTTTCGTTTACTTGCCACCTCCCAGGTTTCGTGCTTTCTTTTCATTAGCAAGCTGCGTTAATCACTTATTTAGTCTGTACTGTAAAAAAATAGCACAGCAATATTGATAATTTTTAATTATAAATTATATATAATATATATAATTTCCAATCCTTAATTACGTGCATTCCGCAAAGTATCACAGTATATACTTCGTCTT